AAAAGTATTAGTTTATTTGATTTGCACATTTCGTGTATGTAATTGGTTAAAAGGCTGATGCTGAATGCGTCCTTTTACAGTTTAAAGTAAATACTTTGACATTTTTACTTCTTAGGACATCAGGGATTGTCCTGGACCTCAGTCTGCTCTCAAGGAGCTCAACTCTCAGGTCAAAGAGAAGTTCAACAAGCTCCGACTCAGAATACAGGTCAGTATCAGCTGCATGTACATGCTGCTTTACATCTGGCAGAATTATTCTATAAGAGCTGAACAATTTTATCTGATGCAATGTGGTGATATTGTTGCTTTTGTTGTTGTCATCAGGATCTGGAGCAGATGGCCAGCGAGCAGGACAGAGAGACGGAAAGACAGGCCATCCAGGCAGAGACAGAGAGTCAGAGAAGGCAAATGCAGAGGTGCATTCTCACACACACACCCACACAAACTGAAATGCCACTGCTTATTCCAGTGATGAAGTGATTGTGAGTGTTTCAACACGTTTAAATTAACTTTGCGCTTGGTTATAAGCTCTGTTTGCATGTTGCATCAGGTTTGGCTGTTTCTTAGACTCTTGAAGTTAGTAGGCTTTAAAAAATGCTTGGCAGTATGTCACATTCTTGATGTTCACCCGTGACCCATATGAAGTCATAACAGTCAGATACATAATTTCACTTGATTTAAAGTAACTTTCAATTCATGTTTGCTGTTATGATGCTACTGTAAGCTCATAGTTGCTTTCAGTTAGCAACAAAACTGTTCAGATTTCACTGATTCATTCTGTAATGAGCACAACACATTCATATGTTATGTTTTGTCTGTGGATTCCAGTAACCAGACAGCGTGGAGGAAAGCTAACCTGGCTTGTAAACTGTCCATTGACCACATGGAGAAAGACGAGCTGCTGCTTTCAGGAGAAACCCCCGGCACCAGACAGAGGTAAGAGAGACTCTACAGTGAAATATTGATTCAATCAGCTTCATAATTGTATTTATTCATTTTTAATGACTCTGCTGGTGGGATGTTCCAGGTGACAGGAACTCCAATGTGCAAAGAATATGATTTAAAACGTAACAATATATTACTGCTGGATTTCTGCATTGTAGAGTACAATGTTTCCCTAACCTGGAAAGCTATAAACCCGCATCACCTCGTGTTGTGCATGTATTTTTCTTAGGAAGGCGACTAAAGAAAACCTTGTGGATACCAGTAGCAACATCACGGAGAGTCTGATGTCTATCAGCAGATTGATGTCTGAACAGGTGAAGCAGAGCGAGGACACCATCGGCACACTGGGTAAAATACTTTACTATGTCCAGAGTGTTTGTAAAAGTATGTGTACAAAACAATCCAAACATTCCTTGTTCTCTTATGTTTCACTCTCTCATCTTTTAAACCTTTAATACCTCTACTCCTCCCTCTCTTCACCACAGCCACTTCCTCCAGGACGGTGCAGGAAACCAATGAGGAGTTCAAAAGCATGACAGGAACCATCCACCTGGGGAGGAAACTGATCCTCAAGTACAACCGGCGGGAGCTGACGGACAAGCTGCTCATCTTCCTGGCTCTGGCGCTCTTCTTCGGTACCGTCCTCTACATCCTGAAGAAGCGCCTCTTTCCTTTCATCTAGCCAGCCGGCCGGCTCGGTCTATCACCTGCTTACTACAAGAATGTTTTAGTTTTGAGTATTTTACTTAGCAAGGAGTTAAATAACAGGTATGAGATTAAACCTGGACTACATGGGGAGATAGAAGCAGCATTAAAACTGGAAAGATGCAAATAGAAACAGTGCCAAGGGAAAATGTTTTTCATTGGTCAGCAGCCTAATTTTTAACTCAAACAAAATGCAATATGTGGATTTATAAAACTGGAATGATGGGCTTTGTTAGGTTGACTTAAGTGTTAAGAGTGGAGCGACTAAAACTGGCACAGTGAAGGCTTTAAAGCCTTTGAATTTCACACCTCTGCAAACCTGACAAGAAGACATCGCATGAAAAGGGCACTTGGAAGCAAAGTGAGGCGTTAACACTTTATCTGGTCTTCAGAACTAAACAGGGTCAAGGCTATAGTTTGTAGTAACCTTTGTTTTGTTTACTTATTATTAAATTACAGTCTGTGTGCGAGTGTGTGTTCAAGAGAAAAGGTGTGTGTTTATCTGTTTCAAAGACACTGTTATTACAGAGTTAACCTTGTCAGTGACTATTTGTATGTCAACAAAAGTTTAAATAAAGTTCAATAAATTTGCAAAATGTGAAGGCCTTTGTTGCTGTGCTGTATTACCACTAGATGGCAGGAAATCCAACGAAGTATCACCGCCACAGACACCACATTAACCAGTTAAAGAAACACACTTCTTTCTATCCTGTGACGTCATTGTAGCTTATTTATTTTCAATCAGAACTGCTTACAAATGTTTTTTTTTAGATCCATTTAAATAAAAACTTACAAAACATAGCTTGAAACCTGGGGTCTGTATGACGTGATTGTTCAAGTAGAACATGAAAAAAATACACATTTACTACACGCCATACCCGAAGAGTGCTTCCCTTCCTGCAGACGACAGCCTGACTGTCTACAAGAGGAAGTTTGATTGTGTTTACGCTGCATAAAATAACAATGCTCATAAATAAAAAAGAACACAGACTTAAATAGGTAGAATACTGACTTTCAGCTGCACTTGAGCTAGAAACAAACTCCCTGTCGTGTTTACTTGGGTCCGTTGCTGCAGGAAACAGCCGCTGTGGTTTACTGTTTTGTTGAAGTGAGGTAGATCATTGGTTTTCATCTGTGTACAAAGTCAAACAAAAAACAGAAGAAAAATACCCAACAGATTAAATAAGTTATGTTGCATTGCTTTCACTAGCAAAACTACACAGAGTACTTGAATAAGACTACAACTACCACTACGTTTACTCATTCTACTGCTAATATAATAGTAATAAGTGCATGATCTTTGTATCTGTGTGTACCCTGTCTGCACATCTGCCTGCACAGCTGCGTGGTTAACCTGATGCTCTATGAGGCAGTGACATTGGTTTTCTCAGACACGGGGAGAACAGATTCAGTCGCGTTGTCGATCGCATTCAGCCCCATCCTGTCGTCGGGTTCGGCCGCCCTGGTTGGCTGCTGCACGGGTCCCTGACCTGTGATAGACCAAGGCACGGTGGGTGGTGGAGCGGTGGCGTTCTGCAGAGCATCCGATTGGTTGAGAGAGCAGGTGCCGCCGAAGCTTCTGCACAGCGCACCCCAGTGCTGCTCACACTGCCCGCGGAGCCGCCGACTGACCCACGACCTGACCTCGTCGCCACACTTCAACAGGAAGTTCACCAACTCCACGTACGGGCTGGAAGGACGTGCACACACAAGAAGAAGATGCTATTGACCATGTGTGTCAACTTTATCATTATCACCCCTGTTTGTTTGTTTGTTTGTTTGTCGGAAGTATGTGGATCCAGGATCTATTTTTTACTACATTTAACATTTAAGCTTTTTTAATGTGCACATTTAGGTAACTAATATCTGATCAGTGCAATTTGGTGCAGCCTGATTGAATTTGAGAGGACTTGGGGAAGGTATGTGCTTTACTGAGTTAACTGGTTAACAATGAAACTTGCGTTACTCTCACAGAACAGAGGATACAGTGGCTTTAAAGTCACCAACATTCAGCGACCTGTTGAACATGTCTTTCACAGCAGACATTTCAATACGTCATATAAGATCAAGATTAAGATTAAGGTCCCACACACATCACGAACATGCAGACATAGGGAAATTTGACCTCTGTATTTAACCCATCCGTCTGAACGGAGCACACACGGAACACACGGAACACACGGAACACAATCCACACAGTGACCACACACGGAACAGTGGGCAGCCATGAAGGCACCCGGGGAGCAATAGGGGGGTCCGGTGCCTTGCTCAAGGGCACCTCGGGAGTGCCCAGGAGGTGAACTAGCACCTCTCCAACTTCCGCCCATGCTGGAATATGAACCGGCCACCCTCCGGTTCCCAAGCCAAGTCGCTATGGACTGCGCTACTGCCTCCCCAATAAGGGTTTGATAAGAGTTTGATAAGGGTTTACCAACATTAATTACACCTCAGGTGGGTTTCTCTTAAACCAGCCACTAGGGATACGCTTTTGGGTAGTTCTAGTGCCGGTCCCAAGCCCGGATAAATGGTGAGGGTTGCGTCAGGAGGGCATCCGGCGTAAAATTTGTGCCAAAACAAACATGCGGATCACAAATAGGAGGGGTAGTGGATATATTGGCAGATGATCCGCTGTGGCGACCCCGAAAAGGGAGCAGCCGAAAGATGAAGAAGAAGAAGGTGCATTTTCAATTTGTGCATGAAAAAACTTTTTGTGAAAAAGCTGAAAATTCAAAGAAACCAAAAAAAAATTGAGATGAAGGATTTTTTACGTGTGGCTGAGATGGAGAAATAGTTTGGGTCTACATCAATGACAGTAAATAATACTGCATTTCTCACTGAGTGTTTCACTGATGCTGTCGCTGATAAAGGTTTGCTGTTTATATGTTTACATGTGTGTGTGTCTTCATCTCACCCTGGAGGAAACATCAGGTGGAACTGGACCAGGCTCCCCGTGGTGTCCATGTGGTCCCTCAGTGCCAGACACAGCTGGTGTTTGGAGTAGCACTCTCTCTGCAGTGAGAACACCATCTCTTTCACCGCTGAGCACCGGCGGCTCACACAGCTGAAGCGCTGCCGCAGTCCCAGCGCCATGCACCGCAAAGCATCCTTAACAAATGACTTACCCTGGGAGAGAGAAAGAGAGAGAGAGAAAGAATCAATGGGACATGTCTCATAGCATATTTAGCAAAGCTGCATGTTCTGAGCACAATGTCAAATCTGACCTAAGGTGGGTCAGATTCCTTTTTCTGCTATTTCCTCTGTCTCTCCACTGAATAAAATAAATCTCATTATTTTCTGTGCGACCTGCACCCATTGGACATTACCAGCTGTCAGTCACATTCAATCCACGCCCCAATACATATGGTACTTTATCGTCCACTTCAATGTAAATGGAACCGTTATTTACACAATGAACATCGTAGTTTATTGAAGAAGACTTGAATCTTAAGATTGAGACCATAAGCTCCTTAGGAAAATGTTTACTGACGTTATAAATCAAGTGAGAATTAGAATTATTTTCTCAGAGACTATAAAACTGACTTGTATTTGCAACCAGTGGAGTCGCCCCGTTGCTGCTCAAGAGAATAAAGGTTTCAGGCACTTCTGCTTTGGCTTCACTTTCTGGAAACAGAGTCAAAGTTCATTGTTATATAGAGTCTTTGGTTTTTGACTAATCAGCTTATATCAACTTTTTTCTCTCAACTCAAACAACAACAGCTGTTCTTGTCTGTTTGCTCAACATCAAGAACATAACCTTGAACTGCACATTTGTTAAATATGCTTTTTATGTGCAAATTTAATGGGCAGATCACTGAACTGCCTGGGCACAGGCCCAGTGGCCCACTGGGTCAGGGGACCTCGGGATGAAATAACAAAGTCAATCTAATGACTGCCAACATACTGAAGACCACTGAATTTAGAGATGGACGTCATGACCGCTCCCCAAAAGGGAAGCCAAAGCATCTTGATTGCCCTCTAGTGGATGGCAGCAGTATAGGTCATAAGCCCTGCCTCCTCTATGTTAGCAGATGGGACGTGGATCAAACTCAAAAGTCAAAGTACACGTCAAATACATTTATCTCAAAGATGGTTATCAGCAGGACCTTGATACCACGGCTCCAGCTCCCGATCGCGACTCTGGCTGTAAAAGCACAAGATGGCAGCGTTCGAATCCCAGATATTTTGGCTTCATTTTTAGATAGTGAGGGGAAGCAGAGACACCTCGTCCATTTTTATATACAGTCTCAAGCATAAAAACAATAAAGTGACAAACTTAAGGCTTAAAAGGTGATCGTTTGTTAGCGTGTGGATCTATGTTATATATCCAGTACACAGTCACATACAGGTTCTCACCGAACATCACCCACTGTGCCTGTTCCCACGGGACACACATTGCATCACTCTCTCACACTTCTATTCTAGTGAAGTAGACAAGCTGTTCCCTCTCTCATTTCAGTCCCCCCGTCAGTTTACTCTGTGACCAGTGCCATGCATAACTATACTCTGCTCACTATGCAACAAACATTCCTCACAAATGACTGTAATGACTGAGGGGATTACACCAAATACCGACATGCATCTGAATATGTCTTATCTACATCTGCCCTTAGGTTTCGGGCATGTTTTCAAGTGTCCGAGTGCGTGGAAGGAGGTCAGACCCTCGTCGGGCTCCCCACCTGTGAGTCGTAGCGCCCGGCGTTGTGCAGCAGAGTGAGACAGATGTGGTGCAGCCCTTGGATTTCACAGGAGTTGTTGTTGAAACACTGAAAGGTCCCACAGCCGACGTCCCCTGAACTCACCAGGCAACTCTGGATCTCCACTGAGAGACATGGAAACAGAGGTGAGTGTTAATGTCCCCACAGTGACACCACAGTGTCCCACATATTTACTGCTGTGCTAATGAATGTTGAATTCTTTTTTTAGACAACACAGTGAGCGTTACAGTCACGCTGCACATCAGGATGAAAGGTTTTGGTTGAAAAGAGCTGGACCGATTTATTGATTATCTGATGATAATCTGACAATATGAGCCTTTCACAGACATATCGTTATCAGCATTTATGTTTGCTGATATGAAACCTTTTATTTTGACTTTCACTTTTGTTATTTTTCTATATTACTTTTAAGTTCTGTATATATTGCGTTATTTGTGTTTCCTTTTTCTTTGTAGTTATTTATAATAAAGTAAGATAATGACATCTTGGAAATCATATGGGAAATGTTTTACTCCCACCTACAGGAAACCGGTGTCACCACAACTCCAGGTACAACCATAGACTTCAATTTCCTTTTTTTATGCAGAAACATTTGAATGAGAGAGGTGCAGTACCTGTGAGAGAGACCAGGGTTCTGACTGTAATCAAAACCTTTTCATTGTATTACTTTTGTGCACAGAAATCTGGGTGTGTGGTAGCATTTATATTCACAGGCTACACTGCAGTGGACAGCTGGGACTAGGAATCGTCCAGAGGAGACAGTGAGACATTTTACTGTCCAACATCAGTGATGGACAACAAGGCTTTTACTGAGCTTGAAGCAGTATTTCACTTCAGGTAGTGTTTGGGCTGGTTATTTAACTGGTTTTCTTATAT